AACAAAGAACAGCCAAGGCAAGTTGCTTGGGGCCGGCAACGGCAGGCACAGAACTATTTTTCTGGAATACTGTGCCAAGCGCCGGCATGCTTGGCTTTGCAAAAGAGCAGTCCTCAAGGATGGCACTTTTAAACACTGCTTTTATTAAACAAACATGGTTTGTGTTTGGCTTCCTCGCCCCCCAGGGTTAATGCGGATCTCGGAGGAGGAGGAGGAGGAGAAGAGAGAGGAGTGCTGCTTTTGCATAGGAAAAAGGAAACCGTGACAACATCCGAATGATATTTGGCAAGTGCCGCAGATCCCAGCCCAGTCTGTTGGGGATGGCAAGCTGGGCGGGGGGAACGGGAGGCGGACAAGCAGGTGGCGGAGCTCAGAACAGGGGCCTGTTCTTTCTTTCCTCCCCGTTTCCCCTTTTGGGGTCTGATCCTCCCTCTTTTCCTCCACCTCTGTTCTGCAGAAAGGATATTTGGTGCAGATGGGAGTTTTGGGTTTTGTTTTTTGGGGTTTTTTTGGTGGGGGGAGTAGATGGCAACCCCGTGCCCTAGACAAAATACCCCAGCAGCTCCTGCTGAAATTTTTCCTCACTGAAGTTTGGCCATTGTCTTTTGCCACCTTGAATGCCAACCAGGCTTTCCACTTAAGATTTTTTTTTTAAATCTTCTCGTAATTGTTTCTTTTTACTTTGTTACATCCTGTAACAAAGTGAAGTTTGTGGAAAATTCAGGCTCGGGAAGCTCGACCAATAAACAGGCCACCAACTAATTTATGTAAATAACCCACCAGCCAGAACGGATGTTCGAGGCCCCTTTTTACGAAGTAGAGTCTCCCCCATCAGAGGGGCCTGACGGTTGGCCACACGCGTGACGCAAACAGGCAGATGCGTTTCCAACACGACGCAAGATCAACGGCAGGGTCTACTGTCCAACACGCTACAGTCCTCATAATGCAGCCAAGGACAAGCACCTCTTGCGCACCTCCCCAAATGACACCGTCACCTACCCCGTCTGCATCATCCAGATAAAGGCTTCAACCCACCGTAATGCCACTGGGTGGGGGTCCAGAGGCCCCCTAGGTCCAAGGGTGTCCCTGCCACCCGGCTACAGGTGAGACCATGCTCGAACCCAGAAGGGTTACAGGAGAGAGCTGGAGCTGGAGCTGGAGCTGGAGCTGGAGCTGGAGCTGGAAGGTAGGAAGGAAGGAAGGAAGGAAGGAAGGAAGGAAGGAAGGAAGGAAAGGGTGTACTCAGAAACCCCATGAGGGTCTGCAGTGTCCTTGCCATCCAGTTGTTCCCATTCTAGTTCCAAGCAGATGTTCACTGGAATGCAGGGGCTGTTCATCGGAAGGTCACTCCCAGCACGCTGCTCTTAATGGGGCTAATTTCACCCCTCGTCAGCGCAGGTCCGCGCTTGACACGTCTGGCCAAACACGCTGGCTGGCCCCGTGCTGCGACGGCAAAGCTGAGCATGGCTGGAGGGAAGAGACGTTTCACCCTCCACCTCGTAGAACCACCTCGCCGTCTTCAGGCCGAGGCGTAATAATAAAATCAGCAGGCAAGGTGATAAGAGAGTTGGCACGAGCCAGCGCTTGGATTCTTTTCAAACAAACGCATCAGCAGAAATCTCAAGGCCTGGGCAGAGACTGCCACGCTCAGGGATTCGGTTGCAAGGCGGCATCTCGCCAACCCACCCCCTTCTGAAAGGTCTGGGACTACAGCATGGCCCTGGGCAGCTCCATGGGGCAGTGCCTCTGAACCAGACACGCCCCTTCTGGTAAAGCCCTGCAAACACTAGAGGTGTGAGGGCGAAGGGGGCTTCTGCATATGTATGCCTTGAAGCCCACACAACAAAAGAGAAGTGAGAAAGTGTCTAGCTTCATCTGGCCTGCTCACAGAAAGACGGCTGGTTTATGTGCCGGGCTGCATCTCAGCCAGGATCGAACTCTGGCCTCCCCTGGGTACAACTCCCCTTAACCTCCAAACTGAAGCAAGAGAAGAATCCAAGATTATCTGGAGGGCTGTACCTTCCCCACATCCACTTTAGGTCAAGCACCATTCCTCTCCCTGGAAGAACTACAATTCTGGTTTACGTGAACTATCTTCTGCCCTGACTTCCTTGTTATTCATACCCCAGGCGTTTCCTTTTCTCTCCTAACTCAACCCTCCCCTTGGCAGGTCTCCTCCTGGGCTGCTCAATCTATTCCTTTGTTTCTCCAGCAACTGTTATTCACATTTTTTCCTGTGCTCCCAAGTTCAGGTTCCTTGAAAATGCCTCCACGCCCCAGGGCTCAGGTAGGCTTTCTGAATCATGCAGGTAGCTCTGGCTATTGGCTGGCTAAAGGACTGTCCAGCTGCTTAACTTCAGACAATCTTTATGCATTTTTCTTTGCTTAAGGGGTGAAATGCTACAGGGGTCACCCATTACCCGTCTCTGCCCCTCTCTCATTTTCTGAAAGCACCTTTCCCACTTTCCTCTCCCCCAAAGAGGCAAAAATGTGAAAGGCCAGACGGGTAGACAAATCCCCCTTGCTTCCCAACTGGAGCGATTCCAGGGGTGCCCAAAACTTGCTTGACCTCTAGAGTGTTTTCCAATCCATGAAAGCATAAAGTAATTACTTTGCAAACATGCAAATAAATCACGCTTTCTGCAGTTGATGTCTGGCTGAGAATATGGACTTCCCAGCGCGAAAGTGACTCTTGCAAGCTGGCAAGAAGTATGTTGGAGAGACGGAGACGGAGAACGAAGCAGCCCACACTTGTGCCT